TGAAGCGAGTTCATGGGAGACAGCATATAGTTGGGTCAGTTTATTTTTGTTTTTTTAACCCATTTTGACAATCTCTGCTTTTTAAGTGGTGTATTCAGCCATTTACATTTAACATAATTCTGGCAATGTTAAGATTTAGCCTAGGTCTGCCATTTTAGTATTTGTTTTCTGTTTATTCCTTTGTGCTGCATGCCTATCTTTCCTTTCTTGGCTTTTTTAGGGCTTATGTGAAGAGTTTTTAGTATTCCACCTCAATTTGTCTATTGTTTTTGACAATTGTGGTTGTATATTTTTTAGTGATTGTGCTATAGATGAAAAGATACATCCTAAATGCATTGGTCCTAGTATCCATACTGTGCTAATTACAGTGGAATCTAGAAACCTTAGCACCATTTTGGCCATGGTACCTTTTATGACCCCGTTATTTTCAATCTTCCCTCTCTATATAATAAGGTCCCAATCAGAAGAATGTTATATATGTTTTTTACTTTCTATCTATCTATCTATCTATCTATCTATCTATCTATCTATCTATCTATTTATTTATTTTAGAGAGAGATACGGAGAGACCATGAGTGGGAGGAAGGGCAGAGGGACAGAGAGAGAGAGAGAGAGAATCTCAGGCAGACTCTGTGCTGAGCACAGAACCTGAGGCAGGTCTCCCATCTCTCGACTCTGAATTCATGACCTGAGCTGAAATCAAGAGTCAGATGCTTAATCGACTGAGCCAAATGATGCCCCTGTTTTTTACTTTCAATTGCTGAGTATGTTTTAAAAATGAGGAGTATAATCTATGATATATGCCCAGATATTTACCATTTATGTTGTGCTTCTCTTGTAATCCTGATATTCTAAATTTCGTTGAACTTCTTTTGGCAATTCTTTTTTTTTTTAAGCTTATTTTTTTAGTGATCTCTACACCCAACATGGGGTTCGAACTCATGACCCTGAAGTCAAGACTTGCAGGCTCTACAGACTGAGCCAACCAGGCACCCCAGCAATTCTCTTAAAGCAGATCTCCTGACTATGGATTCACTTAATTTCCCTTCATCTAGAGATGTCTTTATGTTACTTTCATTCCTGAAAGATATTTTTGCTGGATATAATGGCAGTTCTTTTTTTCAGCCATTTATTTCTGGTTTTCATTGTTCCTAATGAGAAATCTGCAGTCATTCAGATTACTGCCCTATATGGAATGTATCATTTTTCTCTGGCTATTTTCTTTTTCTTTTTTTTTAAGATTTTATTTATTTATTTGAGAGAGACAGGCAGATAGTGACAGAGATAGCAAGAGAGAGCACAAACGGGGAGGAGAGGGAGAAGCAGGCTCCCACCCAGCAGGGAGCCTGACATGGGGCTCGATCCCAGGACCCTGGGATCATGACCTGCACCGAAGGCAGACACTTAACCGATTGAGCCACCCAGGTGCCCCTCTCTGGCTATTTTCAAGATTTGCTTTTTTTGTCTTTAGTTTTCAGCAATTAGATTATGATAGATCTGGGTATGGATTTCTTTGGGTTTTTCCTATTTGGAATTCACTCAGTTTTTAAATTTGTAGGTTTATGTTTTTCACCAACCTTGGAAGTTTACAAGTATTATTTCTTTAAAGATATATATTAAATATGTGTGTGTGTATATATACATATATATATAGCTATATATCTATATCTACATCTATATCTATCTATCTATCTATCTATCTATCTATCTATCTATATATTTTAAAGTAGGCTCCATGCCCAGTGTGGAACCCAACATGGGTCTTGGCTTGAACTCATGACCCTGAGATCAAGACCTGAGCCAAAATCAAGAGTCAGATGCTTAACATACTGAGCTACTCAGGCACTCCTAAATATATTTTTTTCAACCCTGCATTTCTTTCTCCTCTCCTTCTGGGACTCTGATGGTATGAATGTAAGATTTTTGTTGTCCCATAGTTCTCTGAGACTTAATTGTTTTCCTATCATTTCCTCTCCTTGTTGTTTTGATTGCATAGCACTTACTGATTTATTTTTTTTAAGATTTCATTTATTCACTTATTTATTTAGAGAGAGAAAGAGAGCAAGCACAAGCAGGGGGAGGGGTAGAGGGAGAAGGAAAGAGAGAATCTCAAGCAGACTCCATGCTGAGTGCGGAGCCTGACATGGGACTGGATCCCAGGACCCTGAGATCATGACTTGAGTCAAGATCAAGAGTCAGACGCTTAACCAACTGAGCCACCCAGGTGCTCCTTTCTTTTCTTTTGCTAGTAATTTTCTTGCCCTGGCCTCCTTCTGCCTATAAAACCTTCCATTTTTGTACCACTCCCCTGAGCCCCTGTTTCTTTACAAGAAGGGATGCTGCCCAATTCATGAATCATTGAATAAAACCAATTAGTTGAATTTTTGTTCTTGAAGGAGGTTGCTTACATGTCTTGGTTAATGTGAATAGTGTGGGGCTCAGGTAGCTCTTTGAGAGGCTGATTTCATTTCCTTCAGGTATATACACACAAGTGGGGTTGCTGGATCATACGGCAGTCCTATTTTTGATATTCTGAGGGAGCTCCATACCATGGATTTACTTTCCCTCCAACAATGTACGAGCGTTTCCTTTTCCCCACGTCTTCATCAACACTTGTTATTGTTTGTCTTTTTGATAAAAGCCATTCTAACAGTTGTAAAGTTATATTTTATTGTCGTTTTTATTTACATTTCTTTGATTTAGGGTAAGCCCTTGACAGGTGGCTTTTCTTTTGATAATGCAAGTGCCCGACTTAAGCTTTGCTTGCCAAGGCATCCGTGTCCAAGACAAAACACAGTCATCTCAGTAAATACATTGCTAGGGGCACCTGGGTGGCTCAGTCGGTTAAGCGTCTGCCTTCGGCTCAGGTCATGATCCCAGGGTCCTGGAATTGAGCCCCGCTTCGGGCTCACTGCTGAGCCAGGAGCCTGCTTCTCCCTTTGCCTCTGCTCCCTGCCCTCCTCGTGCTCTCTCTCTCCTTTGTTCTCTCTTTCAAATAAATAAATAAAACCTTAAAAAAAAAATACACTGCCAGCCACACAAGATAAAGATAAAGAGCCAGGCTGCCCCCAGCCTCTAGGTTCCATGCTCCAGGGTTCTCTGTTCTAGAGATCTTGGTTGATTTCAATAACTGACCATTTGGCAACTTTTCTTTTCTCTTCCCGTGCTTTAAATTCCTGCTCTTAAATTTACTTATTTATTCATTCATTCATTCATTCATTTTAGTAATCTCCACACCCAGTGTAGGGCTCAAACTCACAACCCAGAGATCAAGAGTCGCATCCTCTTCCAACTGAACCAGCCAGGTGTGCCCGTTTTTATGTTTTATTTGTTTATGTATTTATTAAGATTTTATTTATTTATTTGACAGAGAGAGAGCGAGCACAAGCAGGTAGAGCGGCAGGCAGAGGGAGAGGGAGAAGCAGGCTCCCCACTGAGCAAGGAGCCTGACATGAGACTCGATCTCAGGACCCCAGGATCATGACCTGAGCCAAAGGCAAACGCTTAACCGACTGAGCCACCCAGGCGCCCCTGCTTTTATGTTTTAAATTCACAATAAAAAGTGAGCCTGCAAAAGCCTTAGGCCCCCACCCTCCTCACCAATAAAAGCAGAACACCAGGCCTGTGTATGCTCTCTCTCTCTCTCTCTCTCTCTACCTGCCACCTTGCTAAGTAGCCCCAGGTGTGCCATATAATTTCCAGGTCTTATAAGTAATAGAATTTTTTCCTTTTCAAAAAATTTTTTACTAAGTTTTTAATTTTAATTCCAGTATAGTTAAAATACAGTGTTATATCAGTTTCAGGTGTATAGTACAGCAGTTCAACAATTCTATACATTATTCAGTGCTCATCATGATCTGTACTCTTTTTTTTTTTTTTTTAAGATTTTATTTTTAAGCAATCTCCACACCCAACATGGGGCTCGAACTCAACCCTGAGATCAAGAGTCGCATGCTCCACCAACTGAGCCAGCCGGGCGCCTTTACTAACGTAATGGAAGAAGAGCACAGAAATAAACCTCTAGGAAGGAGGTGTCATTTCAGATTACCAGGAAAGGAAGAACTTTATAATATACGATGTTGATTTTCCTTAAGCAAAAGAATGGAACTGAAGCCTGAACTCACCTTATCTATAAATATTAATTCCAGGAATATTAGCTATAAAAGGCAACACATATTAAGGCTTTAGAAGAATAAAGAGGAGGGGCACCTGGGTGGCTCAGTTGGTTAAGTGTCTGCCTTCGGCTCAGGTCAGGATCTCAGGGTCCTAGGATCGAGCCCCGCATCGGGCTCCCTGCTCCGCGGGAAGCCTGCTTCTGCCTCTCCCTCTCCCACTCCCCCTGCCTGTGTTCCCTCTCTTGCTATGTGTCTGTCTGTCAAATAAATAAAATCTTTAAAAAAAATAACAAAAGGGCAGAAAACCTAACAGGAAAGAAGCTAAAAGCCTTGACTGGGCACTTCGGTTGAGAGACACGTTGTCAGTAAATACATGGCAGGGTCCCCACCTCATCAATAGTCAGGTTAAAAGAAATTCAACTGGGGGCGCCTGGGTGGCTCAGTTGGTTAGGCGACTGCCTTCGGCTCAGGTCATGATCCTGGAGTCCCTGGATCGAGTCCCGCATCGGGCTCCCT